TAGCAAATGGCTGCAATATAACAAAGAGTGAAAAATTTAAGGGGGTCTGAATACTTTCCGTACCCACTGTATATTAGATACAAAACTAAATTACAAACTATAAATGCTGCCTTGGCCACAAACTGAAAAACAAACTGAAGTACAAAATTATTAAAACTAAAACTGAAAGAAAGATTAATTAAACCTATTTAGAAATATTTAAATATTTGTAAATATTTGCAACAAACAAATAACAAAATCACTAAAACTTAAATTAAAATTAAAATGACAACCGAAAATATAAAAATAAAAGTTAATTAAAAGTAATGGGTTGATCTTTACAGAATTGTTATTGTTAACAAAAACTAAAACTATTAAAAATAATTTTCGGTAATTGAAATCAAGCTGAAATACAATAGATATTAGATGAAAAATGTAGAAATTAGAACATTTAGAAATTAGAAATAAAAATTTGAAACAAACTGAAATACAATGAGTTGAAGTACTAAAATGACTAAAACTTTAAGAAAAAATTAACATTAATAATCAACTCATTCTGACGTCAACAAAACCAACCACAGTATTCATTAATCACATTACTGATTATTTTCACAATAAACATCCTATTTCTCTCTAAACTGGATTATTCTGGCATCCTGTTGAACAACTGCTGACGTTTATTTCCAGTGTTGTCTTCTCAATGTATAAAGGACATTTGTACATTTTCAAATATTGTTGAATGAATTTCAGTAAACACTGTGTACATATAATTTCTGCATTCCAGGTAATTACAGTTAATTAAAACTAACACCATAAAAACCTTTTCAGTACTTTAAATAAAGTAAACTTTATGAAATAAAATAAAATTTACTTTTTTAAATCTATTTATTTACTTTTTTATAACTAAATTTTATCTCAGCTAGTTGCCAAGGCAACATTTCATATTTTTGTTTAGTAATTGTAGTACTAAAATAACTAAAACTAATTAAACTAAAATTAATAAAAGCTACATAGACATAAAAAAGAAAAATATTTACTGTAAAATGAATATATAAAAATTAATAAAAACTATATAGACATTTAAAAAAAAAAACTAGTAATAATGACACAAACAACAAAATTCCAAAATTGTAATTAATTCATTCATTTAATTGAATTAATTTAAATATTAGATAGAAAACTGAAATTAGAAATGCTTCCTTGGCAACAAACTGAAATATAATGAGTTGAAGTACTAAAATTAATAAAACTGAAAGAAAAATTAAAGCTAGAAATATACATTAAAAAAATGACAGAAAAACATAGCATAATTACTAAAACTTAAAATATAATGACAAAATGAACCAAAAAGAGATCTGAATCCACTTGAATGCAAACGAGAACTGGGATTTTTTTTTCACGTTTGAGTCATTGGCAGAGTTCAGTTTTGATTTGAATTTAATGAATTGTGCCGGCTCATCTAACAGCGTGTGAGCATTTACCCTGAAAGCGTGACGCCGCAGACTCTCGCAGCGAAAAGAAGATGTCACACATGACTGTCGGACAGCTCACACCCGAGCTGGTGATGACGTTAAAGATCCGGTCCACGTACTGCCGTAAGTTTTCCTGAGGACACAGACATGTCAGCTGATATCAGATACATGTGGTTTCTAATGAGTTTAGTTATCAAAGCAAAAGTATCAGGTTTGTGAACACTCACCCTGTTTGTATCTAAGTTCTCAGACTCCTTCAGCTTGACGGGGTCGATCTCACAAGGTTTGTGGTCAGTGCAGATCTACACACAAACAACACGGTGAACGCAGCGCTCATGATGAGACTCAGTTATAATGGAGAAGAGACTGAGACCAGACTCACTTCATCAATGATGGGTTTGAGTGTGACCCGCAGGTAATGCATCCCTGCCAGCTTCATGGTCTCATCAATGCATTTGGACGTCAAAGAGTTCCCCCGGAATATGGTGTTGGGATCCCTGGAGGAACATGAGGAACGTGAGGAATGTGAGGTAGAGACGTTTGAGCGCAGATGAAGTGTGTTTGTACTCACTGTGTGCGGTTGATCTCTGCGTGGGCAATGGCACTGAGGAAAGGCACTATTTTGCCATAGTGCAGGAAGAGTCGCACCAGCGGGACAGCGGCTTCCTGCTTCTCACGGCACACCTCGCCCAAGATGTGAGCCGCGGACGCAGAGACGGGCTGCACACAAACACATCCTTATTCAACACCACTGAAGTGAACAAGACAAATTACGACTTATCAATAATGACAAATTAGATTTATTTGGGAAAATCAAATGGGAATATGATCGCCTCACACCTTTTGTATCACAGTATAATTTTAATTATTTTTTTTATGCTTTTAGGATGTAACCTAAATGATTGTTGAATCTTTTGATTGAACTATCCTTATATTACTATAAAAAATAATGTAATCAAACTCCTGCTCATTCAGTGAAATCTACGTCTTGAAATTGACCATTGACCATGAAATTGACAAGGAAAGAAAAAACTATAAAACTAAAACTAAAAATAATTTAATCGGGTGATTGAAACCAAGCTGAAACAAAACATATACATAAATATTAGATATAAAAACTTTTATATTAGAGTTAATTTCTTTTAGAAATTAGAGTGCTGTCTTGGCAACAAACTGAAATATAACAAGTTGAAGTATTAAAATTACTAAAACTGTAAGAAAAATTAAATAATGCTATATAGAAATATAAAAAAAGCAATAAAAATGACATATTTACTACTTTAATTATTAGGGATATTTGTCTTTGACACTCTATACATTATTTTGTTTTTGGGCCTCATGTGTATTAGGTTTTTGACTTATTTGAAGCCTGAATAAAGATTACAAAAATCTTTACAGTGTTGTTTTTGTTAACTAAAATTGAAACTATGAAAAATAACTGAAATTGAAGTAATTGGATTCAAGTTGAAATTAAATAAATAAATAAAAATATTAGATGAAAAACAGTTGATTGAAAATTGGAAATGTTGCCTTGGCAACAAACTGAAATACAATAAGTTGAAGTACTAAAATTACTAAAACTGAAAGAAAAATCTATTAATTAATGCACATGATAAAATTACTAAAAGTAAAAAACATAAAATGAAAACTGAAAATGTAAAAAAGCTAATAAAAATCTGAATTTCATTGTTTACAATGTTTTAATATTACACTATGACTATTATATTCCATTATATTTATTACATTAGTTATTATTATATTGGTTTATATTATATAATGTAGCACTTCAGAATTTGTAACAGTAAATAGATACTCCTCTAAACACACTTACAGATTACTATTCTACTTCAACAGGACTAACTAGATGAAGACACGCGTGAGCTCACCTTGACATGCGCGGACTGCAGCAGCAGGTCTCGGAGTGGGTTATAATGCTCTGTGGGGAACACGTGGTCCTCCGTGTAAACGATGTTGAGTCGTAACGAGCCCAGCTCATCGGCCTTCACCGATTTATTGCCGTTATCTCTTGGCTGCAGGAAGTACCTGAAAGAGACGGCAGAGCGGATGATGAGCTCCAGAACACAAAACCCGAGTTGCTTCAGACAGAACATGCATGAAGAGAGCCGTACCATGCATCATGAACACCCGACTGTCCCAGCACCTTCAGCGGCATCCGTACCTCTCCGAGAAACTCGTCTCCGAACTTCAGATTGCTGGCGTTCCACAGATCCACCCTGAGAACAGTGTTTACACTTATTCACTAGCATCAGTGATGTAAATGTAAATTTAAACTATTATATATATATGTTTTAATTATACAATTA